GCCCCCACCCAGCCCTTCCTGGCCCTGAGAACCAAGTGTTGGAAAGCTGGAATTTGAGGCCCTCCTTTCTGAAAGCCTCTTTAGTGAAGTCAGTCTCCCTTCCACTGTCCTCACTAAAGACAAAGGCAGACTTGAACCGAAAGGGCCAAACCAGATAAAGTCTACCAGACACTTAGCAACAATAATGACGTGTTGATATCTGCATGTCATTTACATAGTGCATAGACCATATCCAAGCAAATAATTTGTTTCCATAATGCATACACAGAGAGAGGCTTTAAATAAATCTTCAGTTCTAAAGTGATTTTGGCAGAAGCGTGTTTCAAAAGGTTAGGTGAGTCATAATCCAAGCCAATCAGCAGGAAAGGGATGCTGAAGCCGTCCTCGGGGGAAACGTTCCACGGCTGTGCAGAAGAGCCAGTCAGGATGGTTTTGCCCCTCCAGGGTGTGAGATGGGCAAGATATTTTTTACGTACACTAATATTTCCCCAGCTTGCTGATTTCTCACGGGCCCTGTTTGGCTATAATTCTGACAGTGCTTTTATTGTTAGGAGAATGATATGCACAGTTCACAAGGGTAGAAAGGGTGGCATATCCACAGGTTCACCCTGTCAGATACCAGAAAAGCCTAATGTGCCCCCCCCACTCCCACTCCAGATATTTGGGGCAAAGCTTTCCCAACATCCTCCATCTGCGTTCATCTTCCATGCTCTCCAAGAATGTGTGGGAATGACCTTGGGAGACAGGACATCAAGGGAGAGCTCATTGGTTGTGTTTCCCATCTGGCCTATCTAGTAAGACTGGCATTATCATGGCTGAAGCAGAAGTATGTGCATTGTAGTTAATCACATCTGGGTATGACAGAATAATAACAGAATAACAGAATTGGAAGGGACTTTGTAGGTCTTGTAATCCAACTCCCTGCCCTAGCAGGAGACCCTACACCATTTCTGACAGATGGCAGTCCAGGCTCTTCTTGAAAGCTTCCAGTGATGAAGCTCCTATAACTTCTAAAGGCAACTTCTGCTCCATGGGTTGATTGTTCTCACTGTCAGAAAATTTCTCCTTATTTCTAGGTTGAATCTCTCCTTGATCCGTTTCCATCCATTATTCCTTGTCTAGCCTTCAGGTACTTTGTAAAATAGCTTGACCCCCTCCTCTCTGCAGCAGCCCCTCAAATATTGGAAATCTGCTATCATGTCTCCCCTGGTCCTTCTCTTCACTAGACTAGCCATGCCCAGTTCCTGCAACTGTTCTTCATATGCTTTAGCAGTTGCTACCCCCTGCCAAATCATCTCTCTCATGGCTCCTGCTGTGTCTTTCCATTCCAAAGCACATCAGAGCCTCTTCTGGGAGGGAGATGCCTATTCCTTCTCAAGCTCTGAAGGGTATTAATTTCTAGGATTTGTGTAGTCCATGTTTCTTCAGGGAGAGCCGAGTCCAGTTTCCCTGCAAGATCAGAGAGACACCAGAAGATCATATCCTCACCATTAGCCTTTATGGAGGACACCAAACCAAACAGTCTGGCTGATTAATCAACCATCTCCTAACTGAGTATGGCTCTTTTAGACTGAGTGCAGGTAGTCCTTGACTTATGACCACAATTGAGCCCAGCATTTCTATTGCTCATGAGATGATTGTTAAGTGAGTTTTGCTCCATTGTATGACCTTTCTTGTCACAGTTCTTGACTGAATCAACAATTAAATTAGTAACAATTAAGTTGTTGAGTAAATCTGTCTTCCCCATTGACTTTGCTTGTCAGAAGGTCACAAAAGGGGATCATGTGACCCTGGGGCGTGGCAACTGTCATAAATGTGAGTCAGTTGCCAAGGTCTGAATTTTGATCACGTGACCATGCTGCAACAGTCATAAGTGTGGAAAATGGTCATAAGTCACTTTTTTCAGTGCTGTTGTAGTTTTGAACAGTAACTGAATGAATGTTGTAAGTCGAGGACAGTGTTTCTTCAGGCATTCTGGAGAATTGGGGTGAGTGGTTGTGCTTTGGGGTATAGAGGCCTTTTATTTTTCTGACCTGAGGGAACTATGAGTGTGAAGAGGCATTAATTTCTAAATTCTCCTTCTTGGCTGGTTCAGCCTCCACCTGTCACAGCAAGAAAGGTGGTTATTGACAGAAGCATCGGGAAGGTTAGCAGTTCCTCTCCAGATGACAGCTGAAATACCTACTTGGCCTGGAAAATGGCACCTTGTCTAGAAAACTCTTCAAGCAAAGGAGTCCAGCCCAGCAGAATCCTTTCCACAATCCACAAGACCAGCTTCACTCTGTTTTCTAGAGAAAAGGAACATGGCAGATTCCAATTAAACAACTCTGGGTCACTGTCAGTTTTACATTTTTAGAAATGGTTGCAATTTCCCTTGGATACCATTTTAAACCTGGCTGCGGAATTCTGGGAATTGAAGTCCATGTGACTTAAAATTGCCAAGGTTGAGAAAGACGGATGTAGAATATTTAGGGATTTGGGGTAACTTGAAACCTTCCCCACTCTTTTTGTGACATTATGTTTAATAAATCTGCACACATTTGGGGATATTTTTTTCTTACGGCTCAACAGGCTTTGTCAGTGCCTCTGAGGAATTCACGAGAGGGAGGTGAAAGTTGCTATTTGTTCCTTGAATCAGAAAATTCTGGAATACGCCGGATCTGGGAGGATTCTTTATACGCTTCGATGACTTGTGATAACATGAAAATACTGCTTCCTCCCTTGCAGGAATCTGCTAAGGGCAAATGTAGCCTTGAGGCAAAGTCAACTCCTAGACCTGTCAATCCATTGCCTCAAGACCACAATGTGACATGGTTTTTTCCTGGTTGTTCTCCAACTTCCAACTTTCACTTACAGTCCAGGGGATTCTGAGGAAGTTTCCTCCAAGTTCTAGCTAAGCCTGGGCCTGGATTTGCTTTTTGAGAGCAGCCAAGGTCAGCAAGATACTCTCAAAGAACATAGAATAACAGAGTTGGAAGGGACCTTGGAGGTCTTCTAGTCCAACCCCCTGCTCAAGCAGGAGACCCTAGACCATTTCAGACAAGTGGCGGTTGAGTCTCTTCTTAAAAGCCTCCAGTGATGGAACACCCATGACTTCTGAAGGCAAGCCGTTCCACTGATTGATTGTTCTCACCATTAGGAAATTTCTTCTTAATTCTAGGTTGCTTCTCTCCTTGGTTAGTTCCCATCCATTGTTTCTTGTCCTGCCTTCTTGTGCTTTGGAGAATAATTTGACCCCCCTCTTCTTTGTGGCAGCCCTTCAAATACTGGAACACTGCTATCATGTCACTTTTTTTCACTTTAGGCATTCCCAATTTCTGTAACTGTTCTTTGTATGTTTTAGCCTCCAACCCCCTAAATTTAGCCTCCAGTCCCCACATCTCAGCTGCTAAGATGTCCTTGGAGGGGTTGGTTTTACTGCCAGAGCCTTGGGGTGCATCTAGGGCTAAGACAGACAATAAAATCCAAATATCGACATGTGTTCCACGGAGCCAAGCCTAACATGAGTTGACCACTGGGGTTGGGGGCCCTTTGTCCTCCTCTTGCTGCCCCTCTTTGAAAAGCCCTCTGAGGCCTCTGGCATTTTTTCAGGGATTTCTTTCCTCAGCTGAAACCTCCTTTTTCCTCTTGACGATGTACAAGACTTTTTGTCTCACAGTTGGAGCCTTTTGTTCGATTCCTCTTCAGTTCCTGCTCCGCAGGCCTGGCTCTTCCTGGCTCCAGGAACCTGGACTCTTAAAGACAGACCTGTACCCCCCTCTGGCTGTGTTGGGCCCCTGGTTTGCCTGGGGCTTGGCAGGGCAGAAGCAACTGGAGGAGCTGGGAAACAACATGCAGACATCAGACGTGGTGCTGCTGCTAAACATGTGCCAGTCCCTTCCTTCACCTCCTTCTATCAGCAACCACACAAATCTTGGCCCAGGGAAAGCCCAGGCTGTCTGGGGACATTGTGGCTCTGCAGCCCCCCCCCCCCCGAGCTGGTTTTCCATCCCTTGAGGGTTTTTCCTAGGGCTACAGGTGGGACAAGGAGCCCCTGGAACAGCTTCTCCGCTCCATCCTGCCCAGTCTCGTTTGGGGACTTCTGTTTGCTGCAGCAACCTTGGCTGAATCCTTTCTGGCCCGGGCTGCCCTCCGCTTTTCCAGTCCGTGGGCATCTCTCTCTGCCCCAGGCGCCACCGAACCTTTACCTGTTGGTTAAGTCCCCCCCCCCGACCCACAGAAGCCACGCAGGGGGTGTTCGGACTCGGGCAGATGGCAGCCAGCGACACCAGTCTCAATGGGTTAGGGTTAGGGGGATCCTCGCTGGGTGGATCCAGCTTTGGACCTGGGGCAGGGGTGGCGTGGGCTGGGCTGGTCTCCTGGCGAGAACGTCCTCCCTCCGGGTCCTTCTGCGCCGCCGGGTCTTTCCCTTGTAGCCCAGGCCGGGCAGTAGGACTAGGGTGGCCCCGGAGCCCCTTCCCCAGCGGTAAAGCCGAGCCGGGGCGGCGGAGGGGAGGGGCGGGAGGGGCGGGGCGGCGGCTCCAGGCTGGGGCCGGTCGGGAGCTGTCCGTTTCAGCACCCTCCGGCCGGGAGCGCTCCCCGCCTGCCGCCTGCGCAGGGCTCCCGGGGCCGGCCGGCTGCTGGGCGGGAGGGGCTGCTGCCGTGACGGGCTTCCTGCCTCCCTCCTCCCGCCAGCCGCGCCGCCGCCGCCGCCGCCGCCGCCGCCTCCCCTCGCCGCCTGCTGCTCGGGCGGGCTGGCGCTGGCTCCGGCACACGCAGACCGCGCGCCGCGCTCGCCGGAGCCCTCGCCTTCCCTCCCGCCGCCGAGCGCGCCCGGGGATGGGGCTCCGGCGCCGGGCTGCTCCTCAGCCGCGCGCCCCGTCCCAGCGGGGCCGGGCGGGCAGGGAGTCCGCAGCGGGGGCCGCGGCTCGCCGGCGCGGCGCCTGCTCGGGGCTGAGCGCAGTCTGGCTCGGCCGGCCGGCTGGCCGCTGCCCGCCCGCCCGCCCGCGGGGCCATGCGCGGCGATGAGGATGTGTGAGCGCGGCGTCCAGATGCTGATCACCACCCTGGGCGCCTTCGCCGCCTTCAGCCTCATGACCATCGCGGTGGGCACCGACTACTGGCTCTACTCCCGCGGCGTCTGCAGGACCAAGTCCAGCGGCGACAACGACACCAGCCGGAAGAACGAGGAAGTCCTGACGCACTCGGGCTTGTGGCGGACCTGCTGCCTGGAAGGTAGGCATGCGGGCGGCCGAGGCTCGGCTCGGCCGGGGGGCGCCGGGCGGGACAGGCCGCCTCCTGGCCTGCTCCGGCCGCCGGGCGAGGCGGTCCCGCGCGGCATTCCCCGGGGGAGCCAGGAGCGGAGAGGGCGCTCCGGGCCGGGCTGCACCTGTTGCCCCCGCGCGCTTGTCCGGCCGAAATCAGCCCGAAGCCACGCGAAGGAGGCTGCCTGTCGGGGTGCGGACAAGGCTTGCTGAGTGGGCGCTCGCAGCCTCTGCAGCCGCGGGGAGGGCGGACAGCGGACGCCCGGGGGCCACTTCTCCTGGCTCCTGGGCAGCTCCCCCTTGGTGCCAGTCTGCTGCGGGAGAGAGTTATAGAGGAGCAAATGCAGTGAGCCAGAGATCCTTCCTTCCTTCCTTCCTTCCTTCCTTCCTTCCTTCCTTCCTTCCCCAGTCCTCCCCATAGGCGTCTCCCATCTGCGGGAAAGCCAGAGGTTCCTTTCTCTGCATGTTACCTACTTGAAATCTTACAGTCCTAACAGCTACACGCAAACACGCACCACACACACACGCACACACACACACACACAGAGAGAGAGAGAGAGAGAGAGAGAGAGAGAGAGAGAGAGAGAGAGAGAGAGAAACAACAGGCAGAGTGCGTGAAGAGGTGGAGCAGCAGGTCTGCAGGTCTGAAGCAAGTCCCCTCTGGGCAGGTTGGTGCCTCCCTCCGAAGCCCCTGGCAAAGCAGGTTGCAGTCTTTTGTCTCAGGGTTCCCGGGAAGGAAGGTTGCTGTGAGCCAGACAGCCTCAACTTCCCCAAAGCTGAGCCTTGAAACATATTTGTCCAGTGTGTGTACAATATGTGTGTGCATGCCTGCGTGTGTACAACCTCCTCTGGGAAGCAGTCCTGCCTCTGTCCACTGGTCTTCCAAACCCCCCAGACAGAGGAAGTGATGCATGGAGACCCACACCTCAGGAACTGCAGCATGAATCAAGGTGGGAGAAGAGGGCTGCTCCTTCTCATAGGCTCTTATGGAGGCAGCCCCCTCCCCATGGACCACACCACATAGTTCAGAAACCATGTTTCCAGTGAAACGGAAGCTTCCAGCCATCTTCCACAAGTGGCTCTTGTTCCAAGAGAGGAATGTTTGAGGAGTGGGTGGCACTCAGACCACAGACAGCGGAGGAAGCTTGATAGGGGGCTAGCTGGGGAGACACGGAGGGGAAGCTGACAGTCCCTTGTGCCTTGCCAAAGCATGAAAGTCCATGGGCAGCTTTAGAGAACCAGCTGGATATCAAAGCTGCTTTAGAGATGCACCAGATCCCTCAGCACATCCGGAGAGTGAATGAAGAGGAGAATGGCTCACCATTGAGTTAGAAGGCAATTCCACTTGTCACTTTCTTTCTCAACTGAGTCCTTAATAGAACCCGTCTACTTCGCCTGGGCCCCACATTCTGTTCAGCTGCTCCCCCCCCCACCTGCCCCACCTGCTCCCATTTTTGGGGGGGAGTTAGTTTTTGGGTAGTTCAATTGCTTCTAAGTCTTTGTGATCCAATGAGCATTATTTCTTCAAGGCTGTCCATCCATAAGCACTTCTTAGAGTTCTTGAAAGCTTCTGCTCCCACCATCGGTCATAATATCAACCGCCTGGTCTCTTCATATTTTGGCCTCTTCCATTTTTCCAAGCATCATGGTTTTTTTGTGATTCTCGCCTTCACATGATATGCCCAAATATTTCGGCTTTAGCATCATTATTCATTCTTCTGGTGAGCAGCGAGATTTTGCTTCGCCATCTGGTATTGACTTGTCTGTTCTTCTGGCGATCCAACATATTCCTGACTATTTTCTCCAGAACCACAGTTCAAAGGATCCGGTTTTCTTTGTTTGGCTTTTCTCATGATCCAGCTACAGAGCCATATGTTGCAACAGGGGAAACTAGAGCCCTGACAATATATTGACAGTGTGGTGTCTCTGCAGTTCCATATTTGATCTAGAGCTACCGTAGTTTTCCTCACAAATAGCAGATGTCTCTGTATCAATGCTACAGTCAGCATCGCGGTAAATTTTTGTGCCTGGAAAGACAAAGTGTGTTATCATTCCTCCTTTTTGAGTTGACATAATGCTTCCCCCCCTCCCTCTATTAATGTTGAGCAGGAAAATCTGGCTTTTGCACTCTCTTCATCTGCAAAAAAATCCTTTTTTCCTCTCCGCTAGTCATCAACCTATTTGTGGCTGTTGTGGTTTCTCACAACAAAAATTAACTTCGATTGCTTCCAGCCCAGCATTTCTCATGCTTTATCCTGCTCAGGTGCAACCTAGGCACACCCTTTCCCCCCCTTTGGACCTTTGAGATATTCTGTCTTTCATTCTAACTGTTGCTTCCTGGGTGATGATTCCCTTGCCGTCCCCATGACCCCACACAGGCTTCAGGTATGGGGCCTCAGGTGCCCCTGTCCCTTCTGAACAAGGCTCCAACATCTGGCAATTTTCATTTTCAAGTGTTGCTGAAGTTGCAAAATCTTGAGCATTATCTTACAGAAAGGGTGGTGGTGGGTAAGTGCGTTTCTCAGTTTCTCCCCCCTTTTCATGCTTTGGAATAGAAGTGGATCTTTCCTGGTCCCTTGGGCACAGTTGCGTTTTTCATAGCTGCTTACAAACAACATTTGTTATTGCAAGCCCTACACCTCACTGCACTGTGGTCGTTGTGAGATCACCAGTACATCTCTTTCTACCTAAGCGGCTTTGCGTCTCACCTGCTGCACCAGCTCTGACACAGTCCTGGGTCTTATTTGGCAAGGGCAGGAGGGAGGAGGGAGGCATCTGTGTGGCCTGAATCCAAAGCAAAGGCCTCCATGCTTGGCAGCGGGCCAGGCAGTTGGACTTTTGTCTGCTTCCAAGGGCCATTTCTTGGGGCCACCGAGCACAATCTGTCTCTGCCTTGGCTGCCAGGGGCTTCCGGCTGTTTCACTAGTCTCCATGTTGTGCACTTTGCAGTGGGGAATCATCCTGTTCCAGGGAAAGGCTTGTCTGCTTGCAAGGGAGGGGAGAAGGGGCTGAAAAGAGCCAGCCAAATGGAGCCTTGTTTGTGCATGTGGCTTGAATGACTTTATGGACAGCACTGCAGATATGCTCAGAGACCGTGTCATTTGGGAAGCCAGCTGTTGATCGGCAAAGTAGGTACTTGCTTATGGCTGGAAACAAATTTCTCCTTGCATTCGGCCTGCTGGAGACAGGGCTGGTCCTTCATAAGGAGTGTGAGAAGTGCAGGAAGGGGTGGCTCTGTGGGGGAAACCGGGGGCCTGCCTCGTGAAATGGGTGGAAGCAGATGCTTGGGTGGCATTTGGAGTGCTGGAGAGCCCTCTGCAGCGGGAATTCTGTTTCCAAGCTATGAATGGGGCTATGTGCAATTATGCCTAGGCTGTTTTCGAAGGGTCCAGCCCTGAGAAGGCAACCTGCCAAGAGGGGAGGGAGATTCAGGGGTTAGAGTTACTCAGAGGAGAACGAGGAACAGTGGAAAGGCGGCCTATCAGATTGGAGAGAGGGGCAGAAATCTGAGCCACTAGTACAGTAAATATCGGGAAGGAGAGACAGAAAAACCCACCTTTGCTGCTGACTAGCAAATACCTGCCGTTTTGCAGTCTGGTGTGTACGAGACTCCCCAGGGAAGCATATAGGAGTGTCCAGAGGAAATCAGATCAGTGCCTTAACACAGGGCGGCTTTGGCTCTAATTCATTGATTGATTGTATTTTTTATCCTGCCTTTATTGCTTTATAAGTTGCTCAAGGTGGTAAACATACTTAATACTCCTTCTTCCTCTTATTTTTCCCCCAACAACAATCCTGTGAGGTGGGTTGGCCTGAAAGAGAGTGACCTGAGTCGGCTTTCATGCCTGAGGCAGGACTAGAACTCAACACTTCCTGCATTCGAGACGAGACCAAACTGGCTCTCTTAGTGGTCTCCCTTCTTTCTTTGGGTGGAGACTAAAAGGAATGTTTTGCACATGTTCTTAATTAAAACTAACTATAATGAAAGGGTATTCGTCTCTTGTGTTCCCACATTTTCCTCGTCCGTTCAATCCTGACATTTAGGAACCACTTTCAAAGGTTCTCCAGAGCAGCCACCAATGTTTCCATCTCAGGTCTGGCAACTCTCCCTGAATGGAGCCCCAAGTCGGACTCTGCCCCAGCCTCCCCCACTGACCGGCCCGAACCCCTGAAGGAGATGGGCAGGGCACCATCAATCTCACCACAAGATTTCCCTGCCGCATTGGCCTGCCGGGGGTCTCTGCCAGGGACCAGACAGCTGCCCCAAGGGGGGCATTGCAGTCTCTGCAGGCCGCTGGTGTCCCAGCCAGGCTCAGAGCTTGTTCTGCAGATAAGGACGTTGGTCCAGCATTGGGCTTGCTGGGTGGTGCTTCTTCTATCGTAGGCTGTAACACGGCTGCCAACTTTTGAGGTAGCCTCTGAAGCTGTGCTCTGAACAATGATTTTTGCCAAGCTGACGGCTGGAAAGGGCAGGTGAGGACAGGGGCTGGAGTGCAAAGGCCAGTTGCCAACAGAGCAGGGGGCTGAAGTAAGGGGCTGTCCCGAGAAGATGTGGTGCCCCCTCCCCTTGTTCTCTGCCTCAGACTCCAGCTTGTTTTGTGGCTTGTTCACTGAACCAATCCTTGGAAAGCCATGTTTGCCTCCAGCAAAATGAAGAAAGCAGGGCAGCGGTACCGGCGAGGGGGAGCTGGGAGCTGGCCAGAATTTTGCACGGCTCACCTGAGCTTCCATAAACAAACTGGGCTGGGGCTGGCACCCAGAGCCTCCCCAGCAGCTAGGCAGGTGGAGGCACAGCCCCCTGCAGCTGACATTTCCCCCTCCTCATTCCTAAAATGGGTGATAGGAAGGGGGCTTTGCCATAGGTTTTTCCCCAATGAGGTTGTATCAACTACAACATACCACTGTTGTTCTGAACAACTGCTGGCTGTGAGAGCCAGGCGTAGCAAGAACAGCATGACCTGGGAATATTAT